AAAATAAAAACTAGGCTGCTGACTATGCTGTCTTGGTTCTATTCTGGCTTTACAGAGCTTCTTCTTTTCCTTGAAAATACTTGCATTTTGGTACCCACATATACTTCATTTCCAATCCTCATTTGTCTTTGTTTTGCTTGTTCTCTGACCTCTGCTTCCATTTATGAATTTCTAGCTCTAGCAAATCTTGTCAGCGTAGGAAGCACCTCCTGCAGACCAGTCATACCTCCAGGCGCTGTGCTGTGTGCACCCTTCCAAACAGGCTCTCACTGTCCCCAGGGTAGAGCCCAACAAAATCTCGCCAGGCTGGCTGGGCTCAGGCTGTTTGGAGTTGGCACCTGGTCCCAAGCAGAAGCGCTGAGTTCCACAAAGCACCTCTCCTCAGGACAAGCAGAAACAATTTCTCCTTGACTTAAGCACAGAGGAGATTTTCATCCTCCAAGTAAATTATCATTAATCATTAGAAGGTTAATAATTGCATTTTAAAGACCCCAAGGGTCTACTCAATGCTTGGATAACACCATCAATGTATTTCAAACCAATAGAACTTAAGATTGTTACCCAAAGTGTTTTCTCAACTAGAATTCTAATAGCTCACAAAAAATGATACTGTTGGAAAAAGAATGCTTGTGGATTTCAAGTGAGCTCACCTCCATATGAAATCCTGGTTGGAATCTCAGCTAATGCAGGACACTGTGGAGTTCCCTGGAAGAACCCAGTGTGATAAGTACACATTTCCACCAGAGAAGGAAAGCCAGCAGGTCTCTGAGTATTAACAAGGCTGTGTGGACTCAGATGTTCATGCTGAGTTATTAAGGCTCATTTAGGAGTTATTTTTCCAAGTTCCTCCTGAAGTTGTTCCTCTGTGTGCAAGCACATAGTTCCTTCAGAGCTCACAAACTCAATTAGCACAATATTAATTTGGAATTATATTTTCTCCTTTTCACGGGATTATTGTTTCCCTAACTTGACTGCCAGTTTCTTGAAGGCAAGTTTTATTGCTACTCTAAGCATCGACCATTAAACATTTATTATCCTGCCTTATAGTAATCATTTCATATAGTTATTAACGATTAATATTTTAATGCATTAAAGCTGTTAAGGTATTTCTCTAAACACATAAATTTGTTTTAAGAGCGACTTTGGCACAGGGAAAAATACGACTTTGAAACGTATTAATTACCAAACACGTAACTTAATGTTCCAGATTTATCCAGAATGTTATCCAATGGATTGCACTGCCTTTGAGAAATGACAATAAATGATGACTGAAAATGGGGGTCCACATGAGATTGGGGCTCAAAAGGAAGATGTTACACATTTTTGGACCTGATTCAATTTCAAACATACATATCTGTATTTTTGTTCCTGTTTAATTCTGATATACAATTAATAGAATATTCTCCCATGTTTAACATGATTCTTATTTCTGCTATTTGTGAATGGCTTCTGTTGGCTTTTTTTTTTTCTTTTCTGGTGATTCATCTCAAAAGCTTCCATTTTTCACTTCCTGTTAGCAGAATACAGGTGAGTAGTAAAGTACTAACCATGTGCTAAAGTACTAACCTCTTACTCACTCAAGAAATATGGATTAATCCCCATCTATATTTCAGACACTGTATAAGATCCTGAGGACATAAAGCAGGCTGCCACAGAACCCCTCCTTAAGGACCTCATAAAATAGTGGAGGAAACAAAGAAGGTAATATCTACCCAATGGTAGACAGTTCATTTCAGCTGCTGTAACAAAAATACCATAAACTGGGCAGCTTATAAATAACAAACATTTCTTTCCCACAGTTCTGGAGGCTGAGAAGTCTATGGTCAAGGCACCAGCAGGTGGGATGTCTGGCAAGGGTCTGCTTTCTAGTTCCCAGCTGGCATCTTCTCACTGTGTCCTCACAAGGTGGGAGGAATGAGAGAGCCCTCTGGGGTCTTGTTTACTCCGCACTAATCCCAGTCATGAGGACTCTACCTTTATGACCTAGTCAGTTCTCAAATGCCTCACCTCCTGATACTCTCACATTGAAGGTTAGATTTTAACCTACTGCTTTTGGAAGTACATAAACGTTCAGACCATAGCACTTGTTAATTAATTAATTAGAAAAATGCTGGCGGGGTGCTTACTTTCATGCCGGTACTATTGTAAGCATGTGGGGCCCAGCACTGAGAAACACACAGAAGCCCTGGTCATCAGGAACTTTCATGCTAGTGGTGGAAGGAGAAAATGTATTAAAAGGTCATAATGGCTGAGGCTAAAACTGAACCTGGTAAGGAGGGTCAAGAGGGCTGCACAGGAGGGGCCTGTGATCTGAAGTCAGGTGATGAGCATATCTGTGAATGGTCCTTGGTTGGCAGGCGTGGTGTAAGGCAGGGTAGTTACAATTTTGGAATAAAACTGTGATATGTATACACCATGGATTACTACTCAGCCATAAAAAAGTAACAAAATATGTATTTTGCATCAACTTGCAAAGAGCTGGAGATCATTATTCCAAGTGAAGTAACTCAGGAATGGAAAACCAAATATTGTATGTTCTCACTTGTAAGTGGGAACTAAGTTATAAGGATGCAAAGGCATAAGAATGATACAATCCTGGTTGGAGGGTCAATCAGAGAAGCAAATCAGGGCCAACCAAGAATGGAAATAGTATCCCAGGGTTCGGCAGCAGCAGAAAGTGCCCTAACAAAACACAGGAGAGGTATAAAGACAGCACTTCATATGCAGGAACTCAGAGTCCTCGGGCAGGGCTCTTGGCTTTCTACCCTGGAAGTGAGGGTCTTGGAGGCCAGGGAAGGAGTGTGGGGGTGGGCAGGAGGAATGCTGCTTTCCTGAGAAATGCAGGCTATTCACTGTCAGGCAATTTGTGCTGCCCTCATGGCCTGAGTGGTAGAGCCACCATGTTTACCTCTGAATTACTTTCAATTTCTGCTGTCACCATATCTTATAAATGAACAGCAGAATGTTTTAGGAATTGGAAACATTAATATCTTTGTACAACAAATAACAACGTTATGTCTACCTGACTGCGGTAAACACTGTCTTAGCTCTTCCATTGCCTGGATGGCATCACAGGACTCTCTAACGGAAAGGGAGAATTGACAGAAGCTGACAGCCAAGGGGCTGACTGATGCTGACTGCCTGATCAGCTGGTGGTCTCTGAGTCACGTGTAAGAAGACAGCTGGTATTTATAACTCATGCTGTGACCCGAATTGTTTCTCCAGGATATTCTTAAGGTATCACTGTGGGAAAAGAGAGAGTGCTCCCAATTACTTTTTACTTTGATTCTGGCAAATTCTAATTACAAAGCCTTCATTGGGACAAGGAGTCTTTTTCATTTTCAAGTGGAAACTTCCTTGGCCAGTCAGAATCAACAAACAGATAGAAAGAACAACTTGAAGCTGCACAGACAAAAATATCAGGGCCAAAAGGGAACCATCCATAGAGAATCAGCTGATTCAGGTGGAGCCAGTTCAACGGAATGATGTTAATGGGAGAAATCTAGTTAGTGCCTCAGTTTGGGAAAACAATTCATGTTTCCCTTTGGAAGCAATAGAGGCATTCAGTTTACTTGAGAAAGTTAATGATGAGGACATCCTTTTTCTCTACAGGACAGTCTTTTAAAGCCAAACTCTGATGGTTAGGTTGACTGTATTATTTGGCAAAATATTTGCATTGAGTATATAAACACATATCCATAGTTTTGCATATATGCTTAGTCTAAACCAGTGATTTTCAACTAGAGTCAATTACCCCTCCCGGGGCTACTGAAAAATTGCTGGAAACATTTTTTTGTTGTCACAACCGGGCAGAGGAGGATGCTACTGGCATATAAAACAAATACAGGGTGAAAACGCTGCCAAGCATCCTGCAATGGCAAGGACAAGACCCCGCCCACACAACTAAGAACAGTTTGGCCCAAAACATCATTAGTGCTGAGGCTGAAAAACTCTAGTCTACATAATTAGCTGATATGTGGCCAAAGTCTACCAATTCTCAAGATTTCACCTTTAAACAAACTGGGGCAATGGATTACACATGGTGGATCTATGCTGCCTTTGTAGGTGTGTGTATATATGTTTGTGTGTGTGTGACCACACTGACACATGAATGCACAGATATACAGAGGGCTGCATTTCAGCTCACACACATCAGGACTTCGTACACAGTGAACCTCAATTTGGATGGTTGTCACCATCTTCTGATTGCTTAGTGAGCAAGTGATCAAGTTCTGACCCAGAATTGAAAGAAGCCTTCTAAAGGTTTCTGGTTTCTTTAAAAAGAAATATACAGGTGAAAAGGGCACAGGGATTTTGCTCTTCTTCCAGGGAATATTGCCACGTGTACATGCAATACCTGAAATTGCAGCAACAATTTTGCAACCACAAGCAGTGGTGGCCTGAGGGCCCATCTACCAAACTGTGGATGGCAGAGACCACAGTGAATACCTGCCTCCTTATTAACTCTTGAGCCACTGAATTAATAAACCCTGAAGATGTCTACTACTAAATTCTAAGTATATGAGTTCATTCATTTTTTACATTTTTAATTGTCAAACTTTTTGGAGTTACCTATAGACAAACACATTCTTTTACACAGTGTGAAAATGACATGCCATGTTAGTAATTTCAATTTCTAGACACATAAAAAGAAAGTTAAGAAGTGATGCACAGGAGTCCACATATATCTATGACAAAGTGTCAAATTTTCTAGACATTAAACAATAATATAGAAAAAAAAAACAGCTAGCTTCTATGAGTGGTCATATCAACATTAGCCCTATTATCATGATCTAGAGAGTTGGGAATATCAGATCTCTTCCAAGTACTAAATAGCATGATGTCCTTTTAATCATGAGTCCTGAACAAGCTACATTTTTATTTCTTCCAAGGATGAAGAATTTGTCTTTATTTAGAGTGCTGTAATTTGCTTTTCAGCACCAAATAACCAGGAATCAAAAACAAATGGGGTGGGAAAGTGGGAGTGACAGAAGGCATACCATTGAGCCATTTGGAGTTGTACTGTGCCGTGCGGAGAGGTGGTAAAATGCCCAGGCTTCGGTAAATGGCAGGATCACGTCCTGGAAAATCCATGGCTGTCGCAGCATAGAGCTCTCCGCCAGCTGTGAGGAGCGCTGTGGAATTGTGCTGGGGACTGTAGGGGCAGCGGGCCATGCCACTGATCTGATCGTGGATCTCAGTCAGGTTGTTCAACTGTGGAGGATGAGAAGGAAAGCAGTTATCTCTGCACAAGCCCTTTTAGGGATGCTTATGGATCACATCCACCACAATCACAGTGATGCTTGTGCAACAGCCTCTCTGGGGCTCCTGGTGAGAGATGACCAACTTTTACACTCAAACCAACAAAAACAGCCCCCTCGGCTCACAGTAAGACAGTCCGTCAGTCTCTTTCTCCTCACTTTAGAGTTACTGAACCTCATACCACTGAATACTCACACAAGAAGAAATAAGATCATTGTATACGTGCTGTTGATGTAGCAAAAGTGTTGCATACTTTCCACTTTAACTTAAAAATCAGTGTCAATATTTACAGAAATAGGATCATAATAAAGAATTACGTATAATTCTATCAATATCGATATAAGTGAACCAAAATATAACGAGTATCTCGAACAATGTGTTCACAGGTAAGGATGTGTGGATAATCAGCACCATGTGGCCTGCATTTCCAACACTTTCCTTTTCTTTTTTTTTTTTTTTTTCAGTTTTCAGAGAGATATCCAAGAGTCTTGGAGTCATTTCGTATGAATCCAGCTTCCCAAATGCTGGATTCCCAACCAATCATTTAATGAGAAAAGCTCTTGGGCACTGGTGGAATCTTTGCTCAGTTTGGTTCTTGGTTCTCGCCTGAGAGATGCTGGAGCAGAAGGGTCAGGTCAGCAGATACAGGCACAGTTTGCTCTGCTGTAAGAGGTGTGCCCTGGCTAATTTCCCTGCGCTCTTTATGTCTCAGGTTCTTCTTTTATAAAATGGGGTCCCAAAGAGTAGCGATCTTGTGGGACAGATGTTGAGGACTGAACAACTGCACTGGTCAAAGTGCTGCAGGGAAGGGTGCAGCACCTAGAGAGTCCCTGAGCATCACACCCCTTATCATTCATCTCCTCCCTCAATAATTGAATGCTAATCTGAAATCATGAACAGTAAAAGCAGATGATCAATTAAGACCCTGAAGAAAGTTGTGCAACCAGGGAATGAACGTATTTCTTCATCACATTCCCTGAGGAAGACTGCATTCATACCCTGAATTAGGAAGATTCCACATGTGTTCTACTGACCCTACCATGCTACTGCTATGGTGTGTGCAGCTAAAAATTACCCTGTCAATGATTGCCAGGTTAAAGATAAGAAAGAGGGTCAGTTATAACTGGATGCTGCCTAGGGTTCAATTTCTTAGTTTGCTTATTCTTTTTAACAAACCTCTTATCCAATTTGTAGACTAATTTTTTCTTCCTGTGGATGGTGATTTTAGACCATTTCAATAATTTTAATAAATATAAACAATAGTAACAGTGTCTCTACCATAAAGCAGAATAAGACAAAAAAGAATTTGTTTAGGATTAATGTTTAAAGTCACTGGTGAGGAAAATGCTCATTGAAATAGCTTAGAAACATATTTAAGTTTAATTATACAAATTGTAATTATTTCCAGTTCTTTATCTAATTGATGGTCCTGAATAGAAATACATCAGTAAATTAAAAATTTATTCAAATTGATAAAAGTGCTTTTGAATTAAACAGCCACCTTTGGTGTATAGAAATTCATTTAAAACTAATGTTTCAATACAATGTACAATAGGAAGCCATACCGAGCGGTTGGTGCACACAGGTGTGAATGCATTGGTCCCACAGGTGAATAACCGGTCACCACCCACCAGAAGCACCCGGATGTAGTTCTGACATTCCTCCTGAAAAGAAGAACGAACATATACATATATATATATATATAAATGAAAAACATGCTAATAAAGTCTGAGTGCAAGAGGAATGGTGAGAATGAACACATTTTATGTAATAAATACGTAAACAATTAGTAAAATATAAACCAATAAAAAACAAATAAACCTTTCAGATATTGACCAAAAAATAACAACAAAGCTATTAAACAATTTGACTTTTCTGAAATAAATTTACTTTCTATATCTGCACCTTGTTTGATAAAGAACATGAAGATAAATATATGTTCAATTAAATTATCAAAGCATGCATCTAATTTTGAAAGAAATTATTTCATTTTCAATTGTATCTGATAGTAGCACAAACACTAAACTGCCTTGGACAAGTATTAGGAAGATAAAGAAAAGGAACCTATTAGACGCTGCTCATGAAACAGTGCTTTGGAAACCTTCCTAATGCTGCACGTCCTTCTTGAGCAGAAAGTCACACAAGAAATCCTGTATGCAAACTGGAACAAATTTTACTTTATGGGATCAAACTGCATATTTTAAATACACAGTAAGTATGTATACACATTTTTAATACATCGATTGAAGGGTAAAAATATGTTTAATGAGGAAAAGATGTTAGAAACATTTGGGACAAAACCCTAGGCTGAGGGATGACCTAGAGTGAAATACTTTTTGTGTTTGCAAAGTGTTTTTAGAAAATCCGGGGTATGGTCTTGGCAGTGATGGACATGTGGGTTGCAGAGCTCTTCATTTATTTAGGAAGCATTCACTGAGTAGATCCTCTTTGGTAGCCACTGGGCTAGAAGTTTCAATTCAGGTCCCTGGCAGAAACATACAGGTTCATGACAATTACCACAGAGCTGTCCATGAGCTATAATGAGGACACACAGAGGAATAGCATATTCCTAGATCCAAAGGAATACGAAAAAGGAAGAGGTGTAGGAAGGCTTCCTGAAGGGGTTGACAACTAGGCTGTGTTAAAGAAAGGTAAGATTTAGTGAGGCTTCCTAGAGGAGGTGCTTGTAGGACACCTGTCAGACTTTACTGAGCAAAGGAGAGAAAAGATACTCCAAGCAAGAGGAACAGACTGTGTTAAGTTGTCGTGGCTAGAGAAAGCATGGTGCTCTCAATATGTACAGAAGAGCTCACATGGACGCCAAGGAGCCTGAAACAGCCCAGATGTGCCCAGGTAGTGAGTTCACATGTTACTCTGAATGTGAAAGGAGCTATTAAATGTTTTCACTGCATGAAGTTTTGATGAGATCTCATGTATTATCACTAAAGAACCACTCAGACACACATGTTCATGATAAGCTGAAGATGGAAGACTGGAGCAAGGGAGCCAGGCAGGAAGTGACTTCCATAGCTGAGGTTCTTGTCGTGTCGTGCCTAGAACAAGGTGGTAGATAAGAAAGGACAAAGCCAGAATCCAGTAAATCGACAGCCTGCCATGGCAAATGAACAGTGAAAGAGGCATGAAAGATGCTGCATAATGACATCGTGATTTGAATCACATCATGTTGGAAATCAGGGGAATCTGGATGTAATGGTATAGCTCATCCTCTCTTCGACCAAATGGACCCCGCTCTAGATGAAAGCGTTAATTTCCCATGACCCAGTCTACCGCATAGCAGCAGCGAGATAGTGGCAATGCATAGTGCTCATTTTTGTATTTTCTTTACTAGAGACAGGGTTTTGTCATGCTGCCCAGGCTGGCCTTGAAATCCTGGGCTCAAGCGATCCTCCCGCCTTGGCCTCCCAAAGTGCTGAGATTACAGGCGTGAGCACCATACCTAGCTCAGATTAGCTTTCTAAATTTATTCCTCACAGTAATAGTAACCACTTATCACTGGAAGCTGAACTGAGGGGGACAGAAAACAACCACGAAGATCTAAGTAGACTTCAGAAGAATTACCAAATGCTTATAATCAGCAGACAGTGAATCTGGTAATGGAGAAAGGTACACCAGAGATGGGAGGCTTGTCTTGTTCTGTTCTCTTTTGTTTTTCTTTCTGGGGAAAGGTCAGGAGAGTTCTAAAGGGAAAGAACAAAACAAAAGACTTCAAAGAACCACACAGTTCCTCCTTCCCAGGCTGAAGAGAATGCAGGAGGGCCAGGGAAGAAACCAGAGGGTTGTGGGAGCTTGTAAAGACAGGCAGAGTGTGGCTGAAAGCAGGAAGCCTAGGCCTGTCAGAGGAGACCCACAAAGACATCTTCCAGAACACAGGGTGGAGCGAGCTGATGGGCTGAACGGATGAAACAGACATGTTAATAACACCATCATAAGGACTGGGATGGAAAATAGCAAACAGTGGAGAAGGCTGGGGATTTTGATTGTTTGTTGCTACCCCTTTTAAAAATCTTTTAAAAGTAAGGCAAACACTTTTTTTTTTTTTTT